ATATTAAAGCTAGTTGAGCCACCGGAGGTTGACTCGTTAATTGAGAATGCTGCTATTATTGATTCCGTCTGTTCGATGCTTTTGTGGTAGTGGCCTTGTGCGACGTTCTGTTCACTAAGGTTCTCAGGTCACGGATCATCAGAAAATCGGAAGACGATATTCACCGTTGAATATTCTAGATTCGTTCAAGTCGTATTTCTTTCCCATGCTTAGCTACGGTCATGAGTTGTGGACGATGATTGAAAAGCGTCGAACCCCGGTACAAGCAGCTGAGACGGGCTTTTTTAGACGAGTCACTGGCCTTATGTTTCTCGACATGATGCGGAATGCAGACTTCCACGAGAGTTTTGATCTACAGCCGCTGCTTCTTCAGATAAAAAGTCACAGCTGCGATGGTCTGGACATGTGTTGCGAGTGCCTCCATAATGGTAGACGAAGCAACTATTTTTTTTCCAGTTGAGCGGCACTAGACCCATCGGACGGCCAAGATTGACCTGGTGTTAGTGTCTCGCATGAATCTGTGTTAGACTCCGATTTTCTTCTGCCGAAGCTCAGGTGCTGGCACAGGATCGGAAACGTTGGATGCATTGTTTGACTTGTCTGCCTTCATGACTTCATAAGAGAAGCGGTCAAGGAAGGTGAAGATGACGACCTTGACTCCTTTGACAATTCTGCGGTTTCACAAGAAAAAGCTTTTGTCACTATTGAGGTTAAACTAACTAACTAGTCCCATAGTAACAACTGGCGCAACGCCAATTTATTTTGTACAAGTTTTGATTCCCTGTCATTAACCCATTCCCCTTCGATCGAAGCGCCAAATATTTGCTTACTGGGGGATAACCATTCGTTCCTGCTTTCGGTCTTGGATGCAAATCAAGTCATTTCTCTTCCAGACAGCTGAAAGCATAGGTTGAATTCCTCAAATCTCGTTATGAATTTAATTAGAGTCGATGAGGGCCTCTGTTGCGTAGCCCAAACATTGACAGCTGCTTAATATATGTTTCATAATATCAGCCTCTGTCTTGCGCCCGAAGCCATACATGAATCGGGAATGTAGATGATTTGCCAGTTCGTGACGTAGAATCAAAATGAATTTTTGAAATCATAAATTTAATTAATTTTAAATCCAATAATTTTTCTGCACTTTATTGTTTTTGGGTCACCGTGACAGCAACTTTAGAACATTCTTCGAATAAGCCTATTCTTCAGCCATTCAGGCAAGATTAATATGCTTGATTCAAAGGTCCGATACTCCCTAATGTTCGATATACTCTGGACCTTGATTTGTCTGCGGTGATGTGAGTTAATGATTTTTTCGTTTTAAGAATCTCTCCAATCATAGTTTCATTACGTCTTAGTCTGTTATGGTCACTATTACTCTAATAATAGTTTGTTTTAGTTTGATTTGTCAAAAATTACGTTGATTTCTTTAACTTCATATTTACTTTTCTAAACTCATATGTTACTCTTATACTCTGTGTTTCACGGTTTGATAGTTCTTTGGGAAATATGTTAATGATTAAATTGGTAAAAAAAATCGTTAGAAAATGATTACAGCTGGTATGCTCAGTCGACGTATCGTCTTACAGATGTTCATATCTAGGTAACCAAGATAATCCTACTCTGTTAAGGAGCCTTTTTCATCAGGACAGAATATTTTTCTATGCGCAATAGTTTTAATTGGCGTTATTCGCTTTTCAGAAATTTTCTTACGAGTTTAATCATGCAGAGATCTTTTTCTTTATGCAGTCCAATGGCTGACCACTAAAGTAACCCAATATGTTTATAGTATTGCTTTTTTATAGATATTTTGCTATGCCGTTTCGAAATTGTTTCAAGGCGCTCTTACCAAGTTTTCTCCGACAATGGCGTAAATCACTGGATCTTGATGAACGTCCTGCATGTTTGATGGCACCGTCCCCACTGAAAGCTGTGTGCTAGCAGTATCCTGTCCGAGGCTATTCGTCACTATGCACTGGTAGACTCCGGAATCGGCCTTTCGTAGTGGACTTAAGGTTAGTCTGAAAATAGATGAAACATTGATGTGAAGTATTTGGCAAAAATATGTACAGTACATATGTTTGTTCTGCGGTTATCTAAAGTTAAGCAGAGTATAAACGAAGACCTGATTTCCCATATATGCAGCAATCCGTCCTGTCAGGTAAACTCCCGATCAAAACTAAGAGATCTCTTATCATCAGAAAAGCTGTAGCTGGCATGGTAACAGTTGCTGGTTCAGCCTATTCGCTGCTATTCCTTTTTGGTTCGTTAATTTTCAAAACTCACAGAAGGACCCTTTCCAGTTTTCCTCTAAACAGACACTTTCAAGGGTCTGGTTTATAGCCGGAACAATCCAGAGATCCTGAGCATCAGCTGATTACAGGAACGGAATCACTGAGGTACGTCTGTCAAAAAATTTGACTTTCGATGCCGCAAGTCTGTAAATGACGGATAATTCTTTAGAAAAGACAGTGCGAATAATCGTTGCTAATCTGGTTTAAGTGACAGCATATTTTTTTCCTTGCGGCATCAGAAACTGGCATTGTTAGCAGTTGCCTCAGAATATCTGGGTCTTACGTTGTGATCTTTCATTGACTTTTTATAAGAACTGCCGATTTGCCTGCCTCCCGAATTATTTCAAGGTGCATTAAATTTTAACTCGTCGACAAGCACTTTACAACGTCATAATGCTTTGCTTGCCCTGAACTGTGAATGGAAAAGTGGGTACGGATTAATTATTCACCGAAGCAGGCAAGTTGGCACTCTGTTTTAGAAGTCCATGAAGATTCACAGCGTAAAACCCCGATATTCTAAGGCAACTACCAATGATGGCAATTTCTGATGGCACAGGCAAGAACAATATTTCACCATTAAATTCAGTTCACAATAATTATTCGCATTGTCTTATCTGAAAAATCACTCTTCTGTAAGTGGTTGGCGATATCAAATGCATAGAAACAAAATAATGGCTACAGCACGTAGCAATTATTCTTAGAGGCAGTAAATCGACACTGAATTTCATAAGTTTTTTTTTTGAAGAATCATAGCTTCCTAGGAATTGATCATGTTGGTGGACAGTATTAAATTGCTTTATTTCCACCGCGTTTCGACGCTACGTACCATTCTCATAATTACAATGCAGGAAACAATATACAAATCGAGGATGGCCCATTTTTGTCTGATAATCAGACCCGCTCTCTCTCATGACCGGTGAATTCATTGGACGTGCAGTAAAATGCCTTTAAGCAGATCAAGACAAACGGTTTGTTAATATATCAAAACCGCAAAATAGCATTACCTGTTTCCCCTTGGCGAAATGCGTCGCGCCTCGTCGTACGTGAGCAGCAGGGGACTGACCGGTTTGCCGTCGTGGAACCATTCGTATTCGACCGGCGGATTGCCCACGGCTTCGCACTTGAACGTCACCCTATCGCCGACGTACCGGTACGTGTCAGGCGTTATTTGGAAAATTTTAGGAGCCGCTAAAAGCTTTCGTTTCTTAGGATATAAGGCGATATCTTGCACGTCATCCATCTGTGTCTGTCTATGTTTGATAATATAATGATGGCCGGAGTTGCTCGGTGTGTACAGCATCGAACTCAGAATTGCGAAGCCTATGTTTGAGCCCATGTCTAGTAACTCGTCTTTCTTCTTCCAAAGTTTAGTATCACTCTGTGGGAAGGAAACATAAAATTGCCCATTTGGCTTAAACATAACTTCTGTCGACAAAGTCTTTTGAGTAAGGCACTCCTTACTGATGGCATGGAAATCTAGATCATCGCTCAAACGTTAATTTCATGAAAGGTAT